ACATAGTTACATAGCTGAAAAGAGACTTGCGTCCATCAAGTTCAGCCTACCTCAAATTGAATTTAATTAAAAGTTATTCCCCCCTCCCTGCTTCTTACCTGGTTCTGGGAGGGGGGAGATTCCATCCCTGGTGGTCCGGTGGCATGGTGGTAACCCATGGCAACGCTCTGACGGCCGCACGTCCCGTGGGAGTTAGAGAGAGGGAAGATCTTTAAAGTGCTCCTGCAGTGTGCTGGGCCCCCTCTGCTGCACATATATATAGCGATTATTGCAATATATATGTGCATAGAGGGAATGTGGTCGTCATGGTTGTCACCCCCTGGTGGCGGCCCTGTCTGGCACTAATATTATCAGTTTAACTGGTGTTGAGAGTTCTGGCACTGTCTAAAAATCATACAGACACCATGCACTCCTACAATGCATAGTCAGGGCATATGGGTCCCAGGGAGAGTGAATCATTCCTAAAGGGACTCACTTGTGACTATCTATCAACATTATACATTTAAAAAAAGTAACATTTTGTTTATGAGGGTGACCAAGAAGTGTGGTCAATCAAGGACATTTTCCAGGACACTCCTGTAGTAATAAAAACAAATGAAAAAGTATTGTCATTCAGATGCTTGGTGAATTATAGAGCGTTTATTTGAGCTGCTTACATGAATACTCTGAACACAATCAGGGCCGGACTGGGGATACAAAGCAGCCCTGGAAAAAAAATTTGTGCCAGCCCCATAAGTCACTGCATCATATATTGTCGCGTGTAATATGTAAGGCTATGTCTTGCCAGGACAGATGATTGAGTAATATATATATATATATATATATATATATATATATTGCTTTTTCTAATATAAAATATTGGTCCTTTCAGGGTAAAACGTTTAATTATACAGTAAGCATACGCACATGCAGACACAGGCAATTTCACTGACATTTCAGTGACACACACAAGCTCATTGATACACAGCCTCATAGACAAACAATCTTACTGATATACATCAGCTCATTGACATAAAAACACAAGCTCACTCACTAGCAGGCACACGCATGCAAGCAAGCTCACTCACTAGCAGACGCACACACACAGCTTAATGTGGTGGTACTGGTGTCTATAGCATGTCCCTACAGGCTTTTCAACGTAAACACTGACTTTTCAGACAAAAGGCAGTGTTTACATTGCTTCAAAGTGACACTGCTAGTGACAGTCACTCAGACGGTCACTAGAGGTGCTTCCTGTGTTAGTGCCCTCCCGCCCTCGCGCGCTGCTGAATGAGACTGGCTCCGGAATATGACGTCATATTCCGGCGCCGGTCTCATTCAGCTGCGTTCTGGGGAGCAGAGCCAGCGCAGCTTGCGCAGCTCCCTCAGCGGCCGCCAGGACAAGTCCGCCAGCGGCCGCCAAAAGACCTCCCCAGCGGCCAGGGGAGGGCTTGCAAAACCAGTCAAGGATCAGAGCCGGTGCAAGGATTTTTGCCCCCAAAAATTTGCTGCCCCCACATGTCACATTACAATGCCCCACCCATATGATCTGCCATATGAACTAACGCCAGTGCTGCACACAGTGTGTTTTTACATTAAAAAGCCTGAAGGGACCAGCTATAGACACCAGAACCACTTCATTAAGCTATAGTGTCCCTTTAATGTGAGGTAAATTATAGATTAGTGTCACTAATAATATACTAGATTGCCTACTTACAAGCAGATGAGGATGATGATGGGCTGCAGTTTGGCTCCACTGGTCTGGTGTAGAACAGGATCTCTGGAGGCTGTTTGCAACTGTGGTCACAAAATTCAATGTTCTGGGAGAATTGGAAGCAGCTCCATTTTTTGGGGGCCCCTTACACAGCTCAAGGTCTGGGCCCCAGGGCCTGACGGTGAGTATGCCCATAAGGCCCACTCATAAGTTCCACCCACCCATGAGTTCGCTCACAGGGAGTGGAGTGTGTAGGGGATGTGTTATGTGTTATTGTAGAGGATCTAATATGTGTGCTTATGGTATGTAGTGTTTAGGGTTACCAGTTTGTGCAGGTGATGCAGTGTGTTTGTGTGTAGTGGAAGCAGTGTGTATTTTGTGTGTCTGTATGTGTGTGCATGAGATGCATTGTGTTTCTGTGTGTATGTAAGAAAAGAAGTGTGTGTGTTTGCATGCATGTGTACGGGTTTGCATTGTCTGTTTCTGTGTATGTGTGCAAAGGATGCATTGTCTTTGTGTGTAAGGGTTGCATTGTGTGTGTGTGTGTGTAATGGATGCATTGTGTGTTTCTCTGTGTGTAAGGGAAGCATGTTGTGTTTCTGTGTATGTATAGGGATGCATTGTGTGTGTGTGTGCGCGTAGTGTGAAAGAGCTCCCTGTCTTGGCCCCTGTCCTATAGAGCTGCCCCTTCTTCTTATTCCCCCCCTCCCCTCTTCTTATTCCCCCCTCCCCTCTTTTTATTCCCTCCCTCCCCTCTTATTCCCCCCATTCCCCGCCCTCCACTCTTCTTATTCCCCCCATCTTATTCCCCCCCTCCCCTCTTCTTATTCCCCCCTCCCCTCTTCTTATTCCCCGCCCTCCACTCTTCTTATTCCCCCCCCCTCATCTTGTTCCCCTCCCTCCCCTCTTCTTATTCCCCCCCTCTTTTTATTCCCTCCCTCCCTCTTCTTATCCGCCCTCCACTCTTCTTATTCCCCCTCTTCTTATTCCCCCCCTCCCCTCATCTTATTCCCCTCCCTCCCCTCTTCTTATTCCCCCCTCTTTTTATTCCCCCCTCCCCTCTTCTTATTCCCCCCCTGCATGAGGGGAGGGGGGTCTGGCTGCATTCATTTGGCATCAAGTGCAAGAACGGATGCAGCAATTCTACTGATCAAATGTGAACACTCATAAGCTCTCAGTTACCTGCATGTTTATTGGTGCACTGCATTAAAAGATTCCAAAAGTTCAATTTGTTTTGGCATTGGTTTATATGCCATCATCAAAACAAGGGCAAGTGGAGAATAATGTGTTCTCCTTGACAATTTATTAGAAACAAGGGGACATTTTCAAAGTTTGCATACCCTCCTTCAACATTCATTGACCAATGATCTTTTCTTTACATTATATTAGGTCTTCCTGTTTTCTCCTTTCCCTACATGTCAAAAACATTTTGCTTGCATTATTCCTATTTACTACATTGCTACTAACATTATTAATCATCAGTTAAATCTAGTGATTCTTTACTCCTGTGCTAGGACCAATAATAGGGTCACTGCGTTACTTCTTTGGTTTTCCACTACTTTTAACAGGTACATCATATTCATCAGTTTAAAACATGCATATCATGAGCTCACTGAACTATGCAGTTAAAATGAGGGGGAGAAAAAGCATTTAAAAAAAAAAAAAAATTTTCTTATGTTCCTAAAAATCAATGTCTTTTGTAAGTTCCCCAGCTAATCTGATCCACCCCCTTTTTTTCTCAGCACTAACTTCCATGTTCATGATGTTCAATCTCCAATCAAATACTTTTCAAAGAGAAGCATTGTAGACACAGTAAGCACATTTGGAAGTTATAAAAAAAAAAAAAAAAATATATATATATATATATATATATAAAAATAAATATTTGTAAAAAAATAAATGACATAATGTTATAAATAAATGAAATACTGCATATTTCATTAAATATATAAATATAAGGAATTACTCACTTTATTTTAAAATGTGTACCAAACAGGCTTTTAATAGAGCAAACAAGTTTGCAGGTTTCAAATAATTATTGTTTCTTCATCTAAATGACTTTGGGTCACATCATAGAATTATTAGATAAATATTATTATTATTATACATACACACAATACACACTGACACACAGATAGACACGCAGATACACATACACACTGACACGCACAAATACACACATATAGGTCATAATTAACATATTTTTTGCGACCCTCTTGTTTCCATAAGTTTTGGGTGGCATCCCTGGCCAATGCTGACCAAGGCTAATGGGAATCTGAGGCTCCAGTTTGCTCACTCGGCTCATCTCCTTCTTCTGTCTTTCTACCCCTTCTTCCTCCCCATGTGGCTCTCTGTAAGCTGGGAAGGAAGAGCCCTTGTGGATCTGTATCAGTGTGTCATCTGTGGCACTTCCTCCCAACTCAGCTGTTAATCTGTCAGGGACCCATTCCATGGTGCTCTTAAAGGGCACTGCAACAGACCAGGCCCCTGATGTGAGAGCCAAATTAGATGGCCCTAAGTTTGAGGATCACTATATGGTCATGTCCAGCTTGTTGGATCTGGTGTGACTGGACTGGTGGTAGTATAACTGCTGGCCCGGACTCTACTAGCATGAGTGTCTCAGAATCCCTACCCATCTCTTGCTGTTTGATACTCCAAGGGAAGTATTTTAACATTTAGAACATGCCTTATTATACCTTTCTGTACAGGAGGAGCTCAACTTAACCCCTAATATGGAGCCCTTTTTTATTTAAAAAATAGTAACATAACATTTATTTGAGGGATTCATAGCTCAAATAAATGTTATGGTAGTGTAAAAGCAAAATTGTACTTTTTCTTACATACAGTAGATGTTAAAAAAGAGATAACTAAACATAGTCAAATGCTTTAACAAAAAACCCTCTTTAGGTGATGGGTGAAACTATTCAGTGCCTAAAATACGAGGCAGCTCAAACACATGAAGTGGAATACCCTTATTTCCACAATAAATTAACAATATATAGAAATGTAGTGTAAAATACACCACCTAGTGGAGCGCTAATACAAATATAAGTGATAGAGGGGTTCACTTACCCCAACAATTTTGTGTTGTCTTAAATTCAGGAATATGCTTTTAAACATACAATGAAGGGAAAAAAGAGATAAAAAACATATAGTGTAGATGGTTTTGGTGAAAATGAGTGATGAAAGTAAAAAGCTGAAACCACTCACATGGTCTGGAGCCTATATAATATTGGCTCCGTACATAAGCCTATGTGCTCTTTGGGCAGCAACACACCCCTTCCTCTGAGATGTACCTCCACAACGACAAGGAAACAAAAGGAGAAAGAGACCCAATGGGTGGTATATGTGCAAACAGGCAGGCAAGCATAACATTTACCACCTATATATTATCTGCAGCATACAATTTACCACCTATACACCACCTATATATTATCTGCCTGTTTGCACATATACCACCCATTGGGTCTCTTTCTTCTTTTGTTTCCTTGTCGTTGTGGAGGTACATCTCAGAGGAAGGGGTGTGTTGCTGCCCAAAGGGCACATAGGCTTACGTACGGAGCCAATATTATATAGGCTCCAGACCATGTGAGTGGTTTCAGTTTTTTAATTTCATCACTCATTTTCACCAAAACCATCTACACTATATGTTTTTTTTGTTTGTTTTTAAAATTCTTTATTTTTGCTGTGCATGAAATAACTTTAGCATATCATCAATGCCACAACAGTATTCGCAAACAATTTGAAAACACATATTCGTTGACTGTTGTACAGCATTCAGATTAAATGCACAATTTTTTTAGGTTAACAATACAAGCTGAGTACAAGCTGGGTAACTACGTCTATCGTAATGGATTTCTTTGTCAATTAGTAACAATAGCTGAAGATTAATATTTATGTTGCATTTCAGTGTCATCTAGATATTTAAAGTGTATGCATCATCTAGATCTAACGGAACGTCTTACAGATTATAAATACCACTGGTAGTCAGTATTGGTGCAGAGAGTATTGGTAAAGTTAAATGATGGGAGCTGCTGCAATGCGGTAGCTCAGCTGCAGCGGAAACTTGGAGTCTGCCTGTTTGCCTTCATGCCCTTGAGCTAGTGTATGGGGGAAAGCCCAGTGTCAAGTAGTGTACCTAGATTAGCGTGGCTAATAATCTAGGAGTATGCCTAGTATTGAAAGGTGACTGGGCAGTAAACTGTAATATTAGGGGAGGTTACCCCAGGCTAAAGAAGGGGAGCTGTAACCCTTTGGGTCGTACATTAAACAAGGTGTCAGTTCATGCAGATTAGACAGTTCAACAGCCGGAAAGTGTGTGCTCACGATGTGAAATACGGCTTGCCGGCTGTGGGGCTGAGTAATGGGCGTTTCAGCCTATGCCCAGTGCTGGAATGTCCCCTGGTATGTCGCAGCAGGCACTACGATGGAGCTTCTGGGCTCGGTTCCCGCTCTAGCGGTGTTTGGCATGACAGTCTCCTGTTCAGCAGTGCAGAGGTCGTCCAATGCTGTGTGACGTTGAGCTGTGCTGATCTGTGAGTCTTGGGTCGGGTGGGTGGATGCAGATGAGGCTTGCTTGATGCAGCAGCTCCCATGTGAGCGGGAGAGTCCGTCCGAGTGACATGTCGCTGTTTCCCGCTTTGTCGTCTGCTCAGCCTGATGAGTGCTCTGGATGTGTGTAGTAAGTGCCCATATTGGTGGCGCCGGGTCACAGGGCGGATACATGAGGCCACTGTTTTGACTGCTAGGAAGTAGGGCATTCCACGCTGGCAGAGCACTGACCAAAAACTCCTGCAGAGCCGATTGAAAGCCTCCAGAGGTTGCATGGGTGGCTGGGTTAATGTGCTCTTTGTCTGCGGCTTGCGCTGAGCCGCCATCTTGTGTGTGCCTCGGTAGTCCGTTGCCCCCGCAGATTATGTAGCCGGTAGGCTTGTCAACAGTTTTGGTCTGAGTGTCCAGTGGGATACCAGTCCAAAGGGGGAGGGGGGTAGGAGACCAGCGAAGTCGCTCGAGGGGGTCCGGTGTCGGGGAGAGCAGCCGCCTCTCCCCGGTTCCAATTCCAGTAGGCCGCACATGGTGTTCTGTGCCCCTGGCCCCGACGGACTCCAGAAAGGTGTCGCTTGATTCAGTGGTGCGCCCTCGATCTGGGTGGTGCACCCTGGTAGTTCCTTGGGCTGTGTAGCCACTGATTTTGCCCCAATTTCTGTCTGCCAAGCAGGAGCTCGTGTGACCCACGTCTGCTCTGCCTGATGGTCAAGCTCCGCCCCCCTCGGCTCTACACTATATGTTTTTTATCTCTTTTTTCCCTTCATTGTGTGTTTAAAAGCATATTCCTGAATTTAAAACAACACAAAATTGTTGGGGTTAGTGAACCCCTCTATCACTTATATTTGTATTAGCGCTCCACTAGGTGGTGTATTTTACACTACATTTCTATATATAGTCAAATGCTTTGCTTACATATATTTGCAAGGACCCTGAAGGTATAAGTAGCAGTACAGTTTACTAAAAATGACAACAGAATGTAAAAAGAATGTCTGCATTTAAGCATAATCTTACATACAGTAAATACAGTTAAATCATATATTTATAAAATTAAGATATTTATATATATATAGAAACCTGCTATAGCAATCTTTATCAATCTCTGGAATGGTAATGTAAGGCTGGCAGTACACTGACTGTAGAAATTATATGACCCATTGAAATTCCTGTACTTTTTGAAAGCAGGTGACGAGCTTACATTTTAGGCATTATAATAGTGACCAGTAAGTTCTGGCAGAAAAATTCCTTTCTCTACAGACAGGTAATCATAACTAGAGTATACATGATGGTGAGTGGTGGCTTTTTGACTAGATTTCATACTGCAAAATACTAAAAAAATAAATAATTTATACTTGATTTGGCCATTTGTATGTTATCTGACATATTCTTGTTGCCATTTTCCTGTGATCACAGTACATCATTAATAAATCAGTTAGTTGAATGATTGAATAAGACTCTGGAGATGGGGTGGAGCTTAACCACAGAGCCGAATGGACGCCATTCTCCATGGCTCTCCAGAACTGACCTCCAATCCTCGATAAATCAGAGGCACATGGGGCCATCGACCCGAGAAAACCACAGACACGACATCTGGGCACAGGGGGCTACCCACCGATGCCCTTTTTATATGCCCAAATGGGCAAGAAAACCCACCGCAAGCCTCGGGCCTACCTCGCCTTCCCTTCTGTGGGGACCTCGCGATTGCCAGTGGAATTCTTCCCGGGCCTCGAGGACTGGACCCAACTGCTGGCCGATCAACAGCGACCTCCCAGCACCAACATGGGGAGACAATCGCAGAAATCACAGGCAGGTACACCCAAAGTTTCCCAAGATATAGGGGCCCAGCTGCAATGCACCTCAGGATGGTGGCAGAGCTAGACCCTGAGACCGGCTCTACATGCCACTCCACGTCAGACAAACACTGCATTCTAGCAGCAGGAAGGGGCAAGACCTCATTAGACTTTGAGTCATCACAACTCACCTTTTTCCAAGACATCACACAGAACACCGTACTCTGGCGGAAGTCATTAGGTGAAGTGACTGTACGACTGCGGAGAGAGAAAATGGAATATAGATCACTACTGCAAAGAACCTTAGCAGTTGTCTTGGGGGGCATCCTGAAACTTTCATCTGTGTCAGAGTTCCCAGACTTCCTCCAAAAACTGGGATTGCAACTGAGCACCCCAACACCAGAGATACCATCAACCTCCCATCGATGGGATCCAGAAAGCACTGTTCCATTCATCCCAAGGAGCAACAGAAGGCTGGTAGCACACACCACATAATTCATAATATATGTTTCCATGTTCTTGTTTTCTCTTTACTGAGTTAACTCTGCTGTTCTCTTTATTAATGTTTGGCTGTTGTTTTCCCTTAACTTACTGCTAAGTACGAACCTTTAAGCGGTCCATGACGAACCCCTCCCCTCCCCCTTAGGTTATGGGTCACCACTACTCAGTATTTCACGTACCGAACACCTGGCACACACCCTCTGCCAATGCCCTAATAGAGACCCTGGGGTTTAACAGTGGCACGAAGCCAATTTATACCATGGTAAATGACAGAGCCACCCTCCCACTTTATGCCCCTCCTAAATGAAAGAGGAGTGTGAAACCCAACAACCCACAGGAAAATTAAACATAACAAACAATCGCCCTACTTATTAAAACCATGATTCCCCTCATGGGTACCCATAGCACTTCTTAAAAAAGAAAAAAGAGTGCATAACATTTCTACTGTTTTAATCCCGACTGCAGAATTACATGCTGTTTCTTTATACCATTGATTATTCAGCCTGGCAGCTGGACACTAACAAAGCTTGTTGCTTCTTACTTTTCCCTACCCTTTATAAACATATACAAAGTGTATACAAGCCATGATCCATGTTACGGTAAATGCCATTGACTTGCCTATGCAGTTGTGGCATCACAAGTAAGCATGTTCCTACCTATATGCACTGAAAAAAAAAAAAAGACTCTGAAAATAGAGATAGCATTTTACGTGTGTACTTGAGCCTACTACTGTTTTTTTGTTGTTAATTTTGTCAATTTTTTTTGCATAGGCATGTCCCAAATTCCCTCCGCAAGTGGATAATGTTTTTTATTATGCATATTTTCATGGTTATATGAAGGAAAAGTAGAGACTAGTTTTCCTTATGTATAACTTGAAAGTTGGCAAAAGTTGACAAACAGTTTAGTTAAGCTCTATGGCCTTTATCAATTTTGTTATTTGCCCTTTTTTTCTGTACTTGTCTTCCTCCCATGGTACATCACTTATACTCATTGTTATAAGAGTCAATGGAAGCTGCTGGATCTCAGGAAAAAAACAATAGTCAAATGGTCCTGCCACTTTTTGTAATGGCACAAGATGAGCTAAAACCAGGTTAAGATCTGAACGGGGACCCACCGAAGAGCAGCCTATTTGAGCTGTTATCCATTCTCAATACTCTCTTGCACCTTGTTTTTCTGCTCTCCCCAAGTTTAAATGGTAATCCAGATGTGGACCTAATTTGCTGCCAGCTGTGTTCTATTGGCTATAACTAGCACCCACCAGAATCATGGCCCCCAGGATCCTTACTGGTGACCATTTCTGATCGTGCAGATTTTCGGGCATCAAAAATAATATAATTGCTTCCCGAATTCAAGATCATCTTCCATCTGCTGTCCATTCTCAGGTACTCTCTTGCACCTTTGTTTTTGTTATAATTTATTGCACAAGACAAGGCCATTTCTAAAAGAACACTGCCTTACTAACTATGATGTTACTGCTATTGCTTAAAATAATATGTGAATATATAAATTATTTTTTTATTTTGCAAAAAATGGCTATTGTAAAGCATTGATAGCGCCAGAATCACCAGAGAAAGACGATATAATATGTATACTTTGGTTAAATGGTTCTAGTTCTGTAGATGGTCAGATTAGCCGAACTGAAAGCAAAGCTGACTTTTTCCGTTTAGCTATTTTGACCAAAAATTGCAATTCCCTTTGAATTTTCACCTTAGCAAATAACTCTATAAGAGTTTCACTTTCCTTTAGTATTCTTTCATTTATTTATTCAATACATAGTTGCTAGTTCCTTTTCATAGATTAGCAATGATACAGTCTCAAAATTACATTATAACAGAGTCACAGAGTACATTATAAATTAATTAAAGGAAGCTATGGGATAGAATTTACCCATTTTGTTCAAATGTATTGTACAGAAATACATTCAAAATATATTTTATAAAATATAAAGAAATTTATAGCTCTGTTACAAAATTCAGACACAACAAGAATACTGAGCTTCTACAAAAGACACGCATTAGGACAAAAGACAAGGACAGAGGGATATGGGCCCAAAAAAATATACTGTCCCTCCTAAAGAGTGTCATTTGGGAGGTATGATGAACCTGCTCTAAAAACTGCTAGGAGCCATATCTTATCAGTGATATCAGTTTACAAAAAACATGGTTTACTACTTAAAAGGGTTGTGTGCCACTCATGTGGGGTCTGCGACTTGGCTCTGTTTCCTGGAAGGAGAGAGAATTCAGTCCAAGTTGTGTGTATGGCATGCATTCACTGCATGCACAAACTTAATATAATTAACACAGAAGCAGGCTGTGAGCAGAAGCGTTGTTTTGTGTTTTACAAAATACCGCACTTCTAAGTCACTTTCTAAAAAAAAAAAAAAGCTTAAAGTTGGCTCATGGTGCTGTTTCACCTTTGAAAGCATGCAAAGCTGTGATGGTGCCAGGTGATCCTCTGTGGGTGCACAGAACAATGGAATAGTAAATATAATTTATCAGATGGATACGTGGATCTCAAAGAAAGTATCTAAGTGTAGAATGCAATGAAATGGATATAGCCATTTATACTATGATTGTTTTTCACTCTTTTTATATTCTTTGCATATATCCATCAAATCAAAACTGGAACTAAAAATGTTAGTTTTCTTCTTTGATTGTGTACAAAGAATGCATTATTGCCCTTTTTTGGTCTAAACTTTATAATTCTCTTGTCCATTATCCACAAATAACCACATTAGTGTTTTCCACTAACATTCTGACATTCTGTTTTGTATTAAGATATACCCACTCTCATGTATTATGTTGTCCTGTATTACTGGTAGATGCTTTCTTTCCTTGGGTCTGGCTGGTGTAATCAAGGCACAGCACATTCTGGATTATTGTATTACAATACTTGTGAGGGTCTGATGTCAGGGTGCATATTGTTTTTCCTTCACTAGGAGGCTTTCTTCATGACAGACTCGAAGTCCCTTCTTAAAGGAGGAGGGAAGGAACTGAATAAGTTTCCCCTCCTTTCAGGGCTAGACCCATCCCTTTCTGTGATAAACACGGTGAGAGGGAAAGCATTTTAGGCACAGAGCCTAGACCAACATAAGAGAGAAGCTGTGTGTGTCACAGTACAGAGATCGCTGTGTTCACACTGGATGGGGTGTGTACTGCCACTCCTGAGTTAAAAGTCTAAAGTCTTTGGACGTTTTTTTTTCAATATCCTTTAGATTGAGCCATGGAGCAGCTTTGAGTAGGTAAGTGCCAACTATCCGTGATCAGACAAGCAGACAGTTTAGACACATATAGCATCGTAATTGACTTGTAACCCACAGTAGGATTCTCTATTCTGTAGGATGGATGGTTCTATAAAAGCGATATATTTACGAGAGCAGTGCCAGATGGTTTAACGTTTAAGTACGTTATGGGGTACCATGTTAATTCGGGACATGTGTGGAATTATTATTAAAGAGACACTGGAAATACGTGTCTGATGTTAAAAATATCATATGACGTGTAAATCAATCATCAGAATCATTATAGCTCGTTATTAAAATTATGATAGCGTTTTTAGTTTTTACATTTAAAATTATATTAGTGTAGTAATATAACTACAAAAGGATCGTTAATTCCATAGTTTTCCATAGTTTTCATATATTTGAAACACGACATTGCTCCATGTCCTAACAAAGGGCTGCTAAGATTCTGCAATAGACACATGTGACAGTAAGTATTGTGATGGACACTTGGAGGGAAATATAGCTGGGGGAGCTGACACTGTTGGACAACAAACAGGGGTATTCAATAAAGTGAGGATTCAAAAGAATTTCACACTTCAGGCCAAAGTCGCCGAATTAAATGCATGCCTGACTTTTTTCCAATTCAGCTTAATTAGACCTTACATTTTAAATTCACTTTGAATTTGCGTTTTATTGAATAACCCTGAAATGTGTTTGTAGCTGTTTATGAGTGTGTTTGCTTCAGAAACTGTTATAATCAATTGTAGTGTTAACAGAGTTCAGTATATATCAGTTAGTTCTTTTACTACCCTGAGTACAAAACTTTTGTTTTAACATCATGGTTATGACTTTTCTTGTTCTGAAGACAACGCCTGCACAGATATCATTATTATTTGTCATAATGTGCCTGATTCCTATTCGTGTTGTGACAGATGAACACTGCGTATAGTGATATCACACACAGTACTGATATCCTGAATGCATTTGTTGTAACAATAGCAGCAAAAGTTGCCCGAGGGGATGATTTACAACCATAGTGAACTGAATTCAGAGTGAGTAATTCTGAGCTGACATCCGCTTACAGATGTTGTCCAAAATACCCGATTTAAGGGGGGAAAAGCACCAGCTGCGAAAATTCAGTCAATTTTCAATTCACCAAAATGCACTGCCAGGTGAACAAACCTTACATATGTCTACTGCATTGAGATACCTGATGTTATTCCGGTTTTTGTTTTTTTCTCTTAGAACACACACATGTTGTGCACTAAACTGGGAATCTGGATAACTGATAAATCTGAAAATAGTTGATTTAAACTTTCTCTGACCTTAGCTTGGCTAATTTGGTCTAAAACGTGCATTTTCCCAATCAATAGTTCAATGGATAATCACATTGTTGTGGAACAGGCTATATGTCGAAAATCCTGTTTGAAACAACAGTCCTGTTTGGGATTTTAAATCTGTTACAACACAGAAATTACACCTTTGACGTCTGAGGGAATTCTTTGTATAAATTATTTGTTGATGAATGGCTACAATTTTACAATGAGATTTGTATTGAAGTGCTGCCATGCCTCCTATCACTCCCCATCTAATAATCTGTCATCTCTCATTAAGGAACAATAGTTTAGTGGCAGATAATTAGCTATACAATGGCATTCCAGTTACTTGCCAAAGTCATAAAAGAATGCTAATGTATATTTATGTGACAATTAAAAGGGATAGCAAAACCTTTTTTAAAATAATCATTAAGGCAAGTAGGCAAGTAATGGTTTGTTTCACTGTTTAAGCCTTTCATGTTTGGTGACATGTTTGTGACTCTGTCAGAGAAATTACCAACTTGCTTTCTCTACTGCTACTGAATAAACTTAATCAGGGACTATAGGCCAGTTGGTGCATTTGTTGTTGAGCAGACTTGCAGCACTTTATTGAAATAGCTTCCATTATTGAGAGTTATAAAATCATCGAAAAAGGCAAGCCAAGCCGAGAGTGGGCTTGTAAGGGATGCAGTGCACAGGCAATCCTAAAAAGGTTGTGGGTCACCAAGCTGTATTATGGATGCTCCCCTTTGGGCAGAAATGTTCTATATTTGCTTCAAGCAGCCTGTAGTAGTGCATTTAATTATGTGCTAGGATTGTGCTTCTTGGGAAGTTTTCTCTGTTTTTTCATTCCATTGTTTACAGAATGGGAATTTATAAGTTGTATTTGTGTGCTGACAGCAAGAAAAGAGAACGTGAGCAACATGGTGCATCTGTTAGACAGATGTCTTATACACACTGATCAGCCACAACTTGTCTAATATCGTTTGGGTCCCCCTCGCGCTGCCAAAACAGCTTTGATGCATCGAGGCATGGACTCCACAATACCTCTCAATGTGTCCTGTGGTATCTTACACCAAGACATTAGCAGCAGATCTTTTAAGTCATGCAAGTTGCAAAGTGGGGCCTCCATGGATCGGATTTGTTGTTCCAGCACATGCCACAGATGTTCAATTGGATTAAGATCTGGGGAATTTGGAGGTCAAAGCAACACCTTGAACTATTTTTCATGTTCCTCAAATCATTCCTGAGCAATATTTGCAGTGTGGCAGGGTGCATTATCCTGCTGAAAGAGGCGACTGCCATCAGTGAGCACCAATGCCATGAAGGGGTGTGAGTCATCTGCAGCAATCTCTAGGTGGATGGTACGTGTCAGTGTAACAACCACATGAGTGCCAGGACCCATGGTTTTCCCAGAGCATAACACTGCATTTGCCGGTCAGTCTTCTTCAGGTAGTGCATCCTGCATCGATCTTAATGAAGACCTGAGGTCGAAACGTTGATTTTTGCACGGTTGTATGTGATTCTTTGAAGATTTATTAAAACACCATCACATTGATTTGCAAGACCTGTGAGTGCTCCCTTATATATTTTCTTTGTATATATGTAAAGAAAGCAGAAACTAGGAACTTATTCTTGATATTCTTTGCAATTGACCTCTTAAGTCATTAATTTCCGAAGCTAACCATAATGGTTAATGAACTAATGTAAATTACTCACCTATACATTGTTCAATATGCACCCGGTTCTCAGTTGTGTGTACATATACATATACACACACAAATATAATGTGTGTGTGTGTATGTATAGGTGCACACAACTGAGTGTGTGTGTGTGTGTGTGTATGTATAGGGTACACACAACTGAGAACAGGGTGCATATTGGACAATGTATAGGTGAGAGGATTAGAGCCCATGTAAGGATAAAAGTCTATTAATATTCCTCATTAATTGGTAAATGATTTTTAAAAAAAAGTTTTAGGTATTTCGGTCCAGACACAATTATCGTTTTTTGTTTTCATTTAATAATATGGCATCTAGGATTACTGAAACGAAAAATAAATTTAAAAATGATTTTTACATCAAATACTTGGATTCTGAGGGTTGTCTTTCTGCAAACCACTTGTTAGTGAAGGGGTTAAACACTGAATGAGTTAAACCAATGAATGTGCCAGTCACGACTGTCATCATTGGTATGTGTCAGAAAAAAACATGGATTTGTTTAATAAACCATCTCCTTTATTGCAGTCATTTACATTAGTTCATTAACCATTATGGTTAGCCTTGGAAATTAATGACTGAAGCGGTCAATTGCAAAGAATATCATGTTCCGGACATTCCTAGCATCTGATTTTTTTTTTACATGATTATAAAACGGCAAATTATCTGCAGAATTTCTTGGAACATCTGGAAGGGACTTGTGGCCAGTAAACTTATTTGCTGTCTGGTACATCCCCAAACAGACTTTCGTTTACCATTTTGAACATTTTATTGTTCTACTTGCAATTTATTTTTACTGGGTGTGCATGATCATTCATATTTTCCATGTGCAACACCAGAGGGGAGGAACAAAGATGGAAAAATTAATAATACATTTACGTGCAATCTTGATACAACTTTGAAGGTTTGTTTTTGAGTAGGGCTTATTTTTATTGTTTGTCAATTACTTATTATTACCCCCATTGCATCATTTTATCAAGTGCTGCAGAATCTGATAGTAATATGTAAATGCCAATGGTCATATTTTGTGCATTTCTATGCTCTACATATGCACTACAAACACTGTGTACTAGATATTGTCTCTTTTAATTAGAAAATAACTGTCACTTTTTCAAAGGACTCTAAAATAGCACCAGTCGGAATGTGAAATCTTTTTTTTTATTGCAATTAGAGATTCATTGTGCACATACAGTTTTTTATGTACTTCCTGTTTTCTTACAATTGCTATTAAGTTGTGAATCTTACCATGCTTAACCCCTTCAGGACGGAGTCAATAGTGCACGTTCTGATCAAAACAAAATGTAAACAAAAACTGGAATTTGCGCTATATGTCTGTTCAACCGTAATTCACCGCTGTCACATTAAGTGCACCCACACTTATTATATATCATTTTGTTCAGGAGAAACAGAGCTTTAATTTATCATTAACTATTCATATATGGAACATAATTTATTATGAATAAAATTTAAAAAAATGTGAGAAAATAAGATTTTTTTAAAAATTTGTATTTCCGTCTGACATTTTAGCTGTGAATGTCATAATACTGTTAGGTTTTACTGCAAAAAAATGCACATATTTGTAATCAGTAATGTCTCACGAGTACAACAGTACCCCCCATTAACAGGTTTTATGGTGTTTTGGAAAGTTACAGGGTCAAATATAGAACGTTCCATTTTCAAATTGAAATTTGCCAGATTAGTAATGTTACCTTTGAGACGGTGTGGTAGCCCAGGAATGAGAATTACCCCCATAATGGCATACCATTTGAAAAACCCAAGGTATTGAAAGTGGGGTATGTTTAGTCTTTTTTAGTAGTCACAAACACTGGCCAAAGTTAGCGTTCATATTTGTTTTTGTGTGACAAAAGCAAAAATCTAATATTTGGCCAGTGTTTGTGACTAAGTGGCTACTAAGAAAGACTGGACATACCCCACTTGCAATACCTTGGATACCACTTGCAAATGGTATGCCATCATGGGGGTAATGCTCATTCCTGGGCTACCATACGCTCTCAAAGGCAACATAACCAATCTGGTAAATTTCAGTGTCCAAAAAATGAAATGCAAGCCTTTTATGTGACTCTCTAACTTTCCAAAACACCCTAAAACCTGTACATGGGGGGTACTGTTATTCTCGGGAGACTTCACTAAACACAAATATTAGTGTTTTAAAACAGTAAAACATATTACAACAATAATATAGTCCATAAAAGTGCTGTTCGTTTGTAAAAAATGCAAAAAATTTCACTTTTACTTAAAATATCATCATTGTAATACAATTTACCAGTTTGAAACATTAATATTTGAGTTCAGCAAAGTCTCCTGAGTAAAACAGTACCCCCTATGTACAGGTTTTATGGTGTCTTGGAGAGTTACAGGGTCAAATATAGTGCTTGCGAATTAAACTCTCTGCACCTTTTCCCTGTGTTGTCAGGCATGTCAATCAAATTTTAATTAATCAAATCACATAATTATGTTAAAAGATTACGTAAATATACACGTAGAATTTTAATATATATGCATTTATAGGTATTTAAATTCTACGTGTATACTAATGTAATCTTTTATGTAATTATATGTATTTATCTCTATATATCTATATTTGCGGTTATTTGTATTTTATATATAGATATATATATATATATATATATATATATATAGAATGTCATCCTAAGTGTATTTTGTTACCAATATATATATATATATATATATATAACAAAATAAAGTTAGAATGAAATTACATATGAATATATAATTTATATAAAATTTTGTTTCAATATTTTATTTATTTATTGTTTTATTTTATTTATTATTGTAATTATACCTATATATAAGTGTATTTTAATACTAATATATGTACTTAAATTACTATTAAAATACACTTTGTATGACGTTACATATATATAATATGAATATATATTATATATATACATATATTATATATATATATATAAATACATTTATTTTATTTTTAAACATGTTGAATTAATTTGTTTTTACTTTCCCACCATCAGGGGGACTGTCTGATATTTCAGACAGTCCCCCTGCTGGCAGATCCACAGCCAGCTAGAGGGGGCCATGTGATCGCTCTTTGAGAGCGATCACATGGACCCCGGGGGCCTCATTTGCCGGGAGAGGGCTGCCTGGGCTGTCAGGCAGCCGTCCCGAAGAGGATCACGGCGGAGGTAAGTACGCCGGACCTCCAGGGGCTCAAAGCAGTTACGGCGTTCTATGCCGCCGCAACAGCTTTAAAGCCCACTTAATGTGGGACGGCATAGAACGCCGTAACGGCGTTAACGGGTTAAAGCAACGCTAAACTTGAACTTTTAATTCTTTGTTTGATTGATTGTTGCAGCCTCTTGCAGGTCTGAGAGAGGGTTGTGTGTGTTTTAATTGTATGAAATATCATTTTTGCTTTTCTTTTTTTTTTTTTTAAGAGGGTTATTCACTAAAGTGAGAATTCAAAGTTAATTTTAAATTTAAGTCCAGAGTAGCCAACCTGACAGCATAACTTAGAGAATTTTTCCAGTTTGGCTATTTTGACCTTGAATTTTAATTTCGCGTTGAATTCAAACTTTAGTTAGTAACCCTGTAGTTGTATTCATCATTCGTTTACCACATTTATCTTTATCTGTCTTTTTATGTAAAAGTGAGACCACATTTCTTTTAGAGGTAGGTTACAAATTTTCTTTCCCACTTTATGCAAATTTACCTAAGATCTGATACCATTGCTTGTAGAGTCAAGGTTATCAGTGACAACTATCTTCAGCTGTGTCTGGTCAGGTGTCTGGTTCTTGGCCTATAAAAGCCACTTCCTGTCTCTGTACCTTTGCCAGATTATTATGGTTCCTGTACTCTCTAATCAAGCGTGTTCCTGTTTCTCCTTCCTGTTGCTGAATTTGGACTGTTTTGACTTTGCTGCTTCTCCTTCCCACTGACCTCGGCTTGCCTCACTACGATTATCATCTTTCTGTTCCAGTCTCCCATCTCTGCTTAAGACCAGAAGGCCACTCAAGGCTCAGGGGCTCAACCACCTGGGTAACGAGTGGCTACCTCTGGCAGAAAACATTGCTGATCTGGCTACTGGACTCCAAAATTTTGTAACATCAATATCATTACAGTACCATAACTACTAAAATGAGCAGTAGTGGTTATGGTGCTTAACCCCTTAAGGACACATGACATGTGTAACATGTCATGATTCCCTAATATGCCAGAAGTTTGGTCCTTAAGGGGTTAAGGTATCCCTTTAAAAGGTTACTCCAGGCACCATACCCTCTTTGAAGTGGTCACAGTTCCTGGAGTCTGTTAGTGCAGAATTTCGCTTTGAAACTCTACAAATACAGAGTTTAACCCTTTTGCTGCCAGAAGTGTAACTCCACTTCAGGCAACGTCACTGAGGCGTCATTTGCCAACCAAAAATATGAGTTTTGGTAATATAAATTCTGAGCATATTTCCGTTCACAGAATGTCATCGATTGACTGAGAGTGATCAGCTGATGCTCCAGTGAACGAACATCAGGATCAACATCCGGCTTCTGCAACTCTGCAGAAGTTGGATGTCATAATCCTGCTGCTCAGAAGATCTGGTGCCAGGTGGGAACCCAGGTAAAAGGGCAATCTGTTGTAAAATTTATTTTGGTTCCTGAAGTTATTACTGAACTATATGCAATAGTTTTTCTACTTTGTCTCAGAATATCTTTTGACTGGGTTGGAATTTCTGTGATATTCCAACACAGTCAAAATGAGTATTTCATAAAATTCTATCTTGTTGTGAGAAAAAGTCTGTTCTGCTGAACAGACATACTAATGGCAGGGTTATGACTGAAAACTCTATTTTGCACACAAAATATTATGCATTTTGTGAAGCTAAAATCTACTGTGCCTAAAAGGGGAAATGTAACTTCTCTTAAAAATCCCCTATAACTTGTTAATTTTTTTTTTTTTTTAGAGATACACTATTTTCTTTTAAATGTACATTAAAGGAACACTATAGTGTTAGGAATATAAACCTTTATTCCTAACACTATAGTGTCCCTTTGCCCCTCCGGCAGGTGAAGGTTTAAAAACCCTTTAAAATACTTGTTCCAATGCCAAAGTAAGGGGGAACCTAAAGCACATACAGGGAGAGCGCCACACGGGCTTTAGACTTTCCCCATAGGAAAGCATAGCATGATGACGTACAACATCATTACATTAAGTTAAACTCAGTGAAACAGTCGGAAGAGCTCTAGTGGCTTAAACCAACCAATTAGAAAGCTCTGAGTCAAATTGCAGTCTTTCCCCACCTTGCGGAGCTCAGTGTATGTGGTGCCTACGCTGGGTGAAGGTAGATTATTTTTTTAGCATCGGGTTTTATTTTTTCGGCGTGTTTTTTTATTTTTTATTTTGGGGCTGAAAAAAACAAGATTTTAAACATCTAATGGTAAGTATGATTTTCTTTTTACAGTTATTTAGTTATATTGATTCCCCCTCACTATTTTAGAGTGAGGGACATAGGTAGGATCTTATTTTATTTGAGGCTTGGGGACCCCTCATCACCTGGGAAGGATACACTTAGGGCCCCCGCCTGTCACCCATGGGTGCAGGTCGCTTGGGGCAGTAGGTCCCCCCTATTGTCAACCCGATGCTCAAAGGTGGAGGCCGGGTGAGGGGCAATAGGTCCTCCCCCCCCTATTGTCACTAAGGCCCCCCACCTGCCACTCATGGGTGGTGACTGGGGGGAGGCATTAGGTCCTACTACAGGAGAGGGTTCAGTGGAGGAGAGGTGAATCTGAGTATCATTAGCATGTAGATGGTATTTAAATCAAAAATAAATTTAAAGGGACACTATAGTCACCTGAACAACTTTAGCTTAATGAAGCAGTTTTGGTGTATAGAACATGCCCCTGCAGCCTCACTGCTCAATCCTCTGCCATTAAGGAGTTAAATCCCTTTGTTTATGAACCCTAGTCACACCTCCCTGCATGTGACTTGCACAGCCTTCCATAAACACTTCCTGTAAAGAGAGCCCTATTTAGGCTTTCTTTATTGGAAGTTCTGTTTAATTAAGATTTTCTTATCCCCTGCTATGTTAATAGCTTGCTAGACCCTGCAAGAGCCTCCTGTATGTGATTAAAGTTCAATTTAGAGATTGAGATACAATTATTTAAGGTAAATTACATCTGTTTGAAAGTGAAACCAGTTTTTTTTTCATGCAGGCTCTCAATCATAGCCAGGGGAGGTGTGGCTAGGGCTGCATAAACAGAAACAAAGTGATTTAACTCCTAAATGACAGTGAAATTGCAGGGGAATGATCTATACACTAAAACTGCTTTATTTAACTAAAGTAATTTAGGTGACTATAGCGTTCCTTTAATAAGGTTACTGAATTTTGGTTTGTCCTTAGAACAAGATTTTAATTATTTCTCTATTTGATTTAAAGGAACACTATAGTCACCAGAACAACTACAGCTTATTGCATTTGTTCTGGTGAGTAGAATCGTTACCTTCAGTTTTTTTGCTGTAAACACTGTCTTTTCAAAGAAAATGCAGTGTTTACATTACAGCCTAGTGATAACTTCACTGGCCACTCCTCAGATAGCTGTTAGAGATCTTTCCTGGGTTATGGCTGCCTAAAATGCATCCAGACATTCAGTGTCTCCTCCCTCTGCATGCAGACACTGAACTTTCCTCATAGAGATTCATTGATTCAATTCATCTCTATGAGGAGATGCTGATTGGCCAGGGCTGTGTTTGAATCATGCTGGCTCTGCCCCTGATCTGCCTCTTTGTCAGTCTCAGCCAATCCTATTGGGAAGCATTGTGATTAGATCAGGCCACCACTTCTGATGATGTCAGCAGGCAGTGGATAGGTCTAAAGGAAACAGAGCCAGAGCTAGCAGCTCCAGACTTGAATACTAGTAAGATTTTGCTATTTTTGTAAGACATGAGGAGACCAGGGGGGCTAGATGGGGGTTTTAACCCTAAAGAGTCAGGAATACAAGTTTGTGTTCCTGACCCTATAGTGATCCTTTAATGTCGGAATGGCAATTATTAAAGTGATAATCATGGTATGTTTTAATGTTGTTTAAACAGAGAATAAAAAATGACAAATTAAGATAGCCACAAGCAGGCTATTTTAGCATGCAAAAAAAAAAAACTAAGATTTTGGCATGCAAAAAGAAAAATAGGCCAAAACCATCCATTAAAGCTGTATAGGTCCCAGAGTGTGTCTTTAAAATAAATGACAAAAAATTTAGCACAACTAGTAGTGATTCTTCTTTAAAACAAACATTTCAAATATAATTTTATGTACATTATTGATTTTGTCTCACTTGCTGCTCAGTCACTCGAGACAAGTTGCAGAGTTATGAGTAATTGGTCTGGTTGAAGTAATCAGATCTTTTTCATCACAGTCATTATAAAAAAAGACCAGGCAAACACTTTTTATTGTGTAATTATTTTTGGTTATACATCACATCAATGAAAATAAACATGTTTCCTTCCTTGTTTGCAATATTAATACATATAATGCTTATCACTTTAATAATTGCTATTCAAACATTGAATGGAATAGAGACATCATTCAAATCTTGTTCTAAGGACAAACAAATATTCTTATCTCCACAATACATCAGCCAGATAAATGGACAACCATGACATTAGAATTGAAAAGATTTAAAGGGACAAAATTGCAATTATTTTACATCTTCATTAATCTTAAAGGGCACTCCAGTGGGAGATTTTACACACTTTTTAGTAACTACAAAAAAGTAGGGAAAATTAAAACATTTGTCATCTTAGAAAAATATTCAGATCTAAATTAAGGTTACGATTTAAAAAGGTTTAGCTAACAAACTTAAAACACGATCAGCATGTCATTAATAGGTTCAAAGTGGAATTCAGCATACATTTCAAATGTTAAGGATGAGAGCTGCATAGGAAAACATTCTCCAAGTAACCTATGTTTTAAGTTCAGCTATGTTGGTCACAAAAATCGACTACTTGCTTGAATTAGGTGTGCAAAAAGTAGTTATTTACTGCCAACCTCAGAATTAAAATACGTCTTTGAGCTTCCGTTTACTTAATGCAAATTATGACAGCCTCACTTGTTGAAAGTTGCTTCATCACATACAAAAGGATTATAGAAGTTCCCTTGAAATGGCTTATGTCAGTGGGATCTTCACCACCTGTTTTTGCATGTATGCGTGAAGATGCCAAAGGCAATTTGTGCATAGCACAGGAAGATGATGATGTCAGCTTTAGATTATTGCTGGCTGATGTCTGTGGGAGGGCTTACCAACAATTAGGCTCCTTTGTCTTTTTCATTGCTATGCATGAGATAAAGTTCCCTGTAGGATTTTTCTTTTCTTTTCTTTTTTTTTTTAGGTTTTAATGTAAAAACAAAGTTAAAATAGTAGAAAAAATAATAATCTTCATTAAAACACAGTCAATACATATTCTCTTAATGAATGCAAAATTTAGCAAAGTACCTTTTACTCAAGAAAATAGTAAAGACTCTAACTTTAGTAACCTGTTTTACAGTAATAAACAATATGCGCACTTGAGATTTTTCATATTAACTTTGAATACAGGTAGTTTCACTGCAGCTGGTCTGTTATTTTTTGTTGCTGTTTTAATTTCATGTCATGATATTTTCTTGTTGCAGAAACTTGGACACCACTGTATGCCAACATGAATGATCTTGTAAGCCCAACACCAGTGGAACTTCCCAAACATATCCTGGATGTCTGGGTAATTGTACTCATCATACTGGCCACCATCTTGGTCATGACATCTCTGTTACTGTTTCCGGCAGCATCTGTCATTATCTATAGAGTAAGAACTCATCCAATTCGAAGTACCAGCTAGTAGTAAAGGAACAGAACTGGACTATTGCTGTTCTTGAAGAGCATGGCATGCTTGGGGTTGGACATGAAGAAAAAAAAAAAAAAGAGACCAGTTCAAAGTGGAATATTTTTCCACACTGTGCAAACACTAATGCATGGATCAATGTGTACTTTCTAGAGGATACATCCATAAAAGGAATTGTGGATCAAAAATATTGTGTGCAACATAGTGTTGGCTTGTACCACTTCATTAAAGAATAACTTATCAATGGACTTTTGTGAGGGAGCTGTTTAAATATTTGCACGTGGTACTCACTGGCACTCAACAAGGTTTCAGTCATTTCACAGTGCTCTGTGTTTGTTTGTTGAGCTACAAGTAAATAATTTGCAATTTAGATCTATTACAGTGAATTCAAATTTCCACACTGTTATTTATTATATCCCGTTACAATAAAAACTTTATTGTAGAAGTTGCTGATTTGCAGTAGTTCATGTAACCAACAAAATGGAAGTTTATTTTTCTCATATATCACAATTGAAGCTAAGATGGAGCACATTGGATTAAGAATGCTAATGTAAAATGTATTTATTGGCAGTGGATTTATTTGGAACAGTACTTTTTATGACTCTCTTTGGTGTACGGTTAAGAAGAAATAAATATAACCTGTTAGCAGCCTTTAATGAAAGTTAGCATTCTAGAATGTGATATTGCCTACAGTAGGTGTATGAAGTATCTGACTCCTGACTGCTGTGGTGTACAAATCTAGAACAGTGGTACTCAACCCATTTGTCAAGGCTTACCAACAGTCTAGAGTTTCTCAGGATCCTCATTGGAATAGAATTCACAAATGCCTAGATCCTAGACTGTTGGGGTACCTCAGGGCTTGGGTTGAGAAACACTGTCATAGAGAAACTTTCCAAGCTGGCATGAAACTGGAATAGGAGTAGGGTCATTCCAGTGATGCAACATGCAATACTGCAGTTACACTGCAACCAAAACTATATGTCAACCTGGTGCACTTGTACACCAATCTGGCAGGCATGCCTAAAAGCTCAATCCCTCTCTAAAATACCAGATTATTGCTAAATAACATCACAATGTGTTTTTTAAAAACTTTTCTCTTGGCCAGAAGTGAAAGCTCAGTAACAAATCAAAAAGGATTCTCGGGAAGTTATGCTAGAGGTGTGCTAGTATACTCAAGAAGTTACCAGCTGAAAGTTAGATATACCTTGTCTACAGAGAGATCTTATGACCTACTCAATAAACCCTATGTTTTATCAACTATGTAAGATTGTTAAAATCCAAATCAAATATGCTAGCCTAGTCACGCATACTAAATAACTGGACACCGTTTGCACAGTTACATAAACATTAAATTCACTGGAGATCATCTTTTCAGCATGTATCTGCAGGCCCTGAGTACATAGTGCTGTAATTGATTTCTAACTGATTTTGGAAGCAGTTTGCAAATAACATGTTCAGCTAAACTAAGGAGATCACCTGAGACTTCACACTCAAGCTGACTGGGTAGGTGTGTTGAGGTCAAATGAAAAGCAAAGGAGAGTTTGTATGCTGATCACTCTAAAATTAGTATATGATTTTAAATTTAGTAAAACTTTGGGGGAATTGATCATGCTGATGACAAATAGATGTCTGTTGGTCAGAAAATTGTTATCTATGGATTTTGTAAATGCACAAAAATAAAAAAATAAAAACTATGAAAAAATGTTTTTCATTTTCAGATTCCAAGCATGTCTTTGTTTTTCTTGAGAAGTGCAGACATTTTTACAATCCGGTTAATTATTACTGAATGCTGACAACTGCACAGCATTTTATTTTCTATATAAATTATAACATTAATAAAATCTTTACACAGATTTACCTTTTATTTATTTATTTATTTATTTATCGGACAGGATACAGCCAGTTTTGCACTAAAAGAAGTTTGGCATAGATACAAAATCTAACATACCTATCCAAAATGTAAAAAATAGAATACAAACCAATAAGAGATAAAGAAACAGTAGCAACTAGAAAAGTGCACCATTGCATCATAGACAAAAAATACAAAGTCTTCACAGTACTATAATTGTGCTTGCATCATGGCAACAATGGCAAGTTTCATGACTGACATGCAGTACCAAAATAAACAATATATAATAAATATAACGGTAAGGATATTAACAATAGAAGAGTATTACAACGGAGATGGAGACAGGGGTATAGGGACAGGTAATGTTGTCTATACCCTAAAATAACGATTTCTAAGGATTGATAATATCTTCCGAAAGAGGCCACATTTTGAAATATGAACGTATAGAACCTTGGACAGAGGCAGTCAGTTGATCTATGTGGCGATTATCTTCTATATTAACTCTGACCTTGTGTAACAAGAGGGTAGCAGTTTTTAGCCAGTTTGCAACCAGTGCACTTCTGGTGGTCAATGTGAGAAAGAAATGGAAGCCACTCTATGGGTAAAGACAATAAAAAGGAATGTGGGCCCTGCTCAAAAAGTCTGTTGAAAATACCACCATAATAATAATTTATACATTTGTTCTTGGTGGGTTACCGCTATGGAAATTTTAGCAGCTGCCTTCTCAGATGTCCTCTTCTCTTAAATCAAATTCCCCTGGGTGAGTGTACAAGTATTAGAATGGGAACACATAAAGGTATAAATAGTGGATATTAGAGCTTTTTGATCCATTTCAGACTAACATAAATGCTAAAACATAGTCAGTTCCTGATTATATAGCAGATATAATCTTGGGAGGCTAAAAGTGTAGATTGTTTCAGATTATGATAGTCTAGCAGGGAATGCTGTAGGTGTTTAAATCTTGGCACTCCAGCTTCCTGAACATTACAAATATTCTTGTGGTACTTATACTTATGGTGGACTCTGTCCTAAATGGATAAGGAATTGTGCAATTTTTGCTTCCTTTGGTATAGCTCTCCCTTGTCATGTTCTCTCATGTTCTTTAGTATCGATAGAATTCTTAGATGTGTTGTCATATCCAAGGATGAAAAGACTGCAGAGGGAGTAATATCTATGCAGGAGGAGACAAAAACCTCTACTATCTCCCTGTTAACCGAGGCCCCAGTGCCTGGAGGGAATGAGTTAGGGGCTGAATATTTGAGCAGCAGAGGATGTAATGTGATGGGCCCCTAATGAATCTGATTTAGTCTTCTAATACATTTCCTGCCACTGGTTAAGGCGTTGCCATAAGTTTGGTATCTATACATTTTCATGATCACTGACCATGATTATATAATTGCAGCATGTGTGCTTATGTATATGTGAGTGGGCTTAGCTCATTGGCTGAAATCGAGAAATGTATGCTCTCAGACAGAGCTGACCTCAGGAAATCTAATGGAAGCTCCTAACAGGAGCCATACAGATCTCCATGAGGCAGAGAGTAGTGCCTGGTTGACCCCAGTTAACTAGTTAAACCATTAGTAAACAATCTGACTACTTACAATAATAGTGGATCAAGGCACTCCTAGTACCACACGCACTGTAGTGCTTATGGTGCTTGTGGCGTGCTTGTGGCGTGCCTTTATTATATCCATGAGCTCTACACAGGAAGAGATGAGGCAGGGAGAGATGAGGCAGTGCCTGGTGGGCCCCAGGGAAGTAGTCAAACCATTAGTAAACAGTTTGACTACTTACAATGGGGGTGCACCAGGTCACTCCTAGTACCACATGTTCTACAGAATGCTGCAGTGCTTATGGTGATTGTGGTGTTCCTTTATTATATCCACGAGAACATCAGAATATAATTTTAGCCAGATTTTGCACTCACACCTATGAATAGAGACACCTATGATCCCAAAGTATATAGTCATTATGTATCCGTTGCTCTCCATGTCTTACATTCTGAAATAGATTTATTAGTTGGAGACAAGCTGAGGTAATGAATTTCATAGCAACTGCAGTGGTTGAATTTTGGAATCTTACCAAGCATCCAATTACAATATAAATGTCTTTGTGTTTAAGACGACAACTCTTACAAACAACTGGCCAAAGGCATAAATAAATATCCATTAATAGATCACGTGCTGTGCAACTGCAATCAACCAAATTTTGGCAGCTGAACCAGTGAATAGTTTAACTCTCTGGGCTCAATGGGATGCCTTTTCAAGAATCCATCACAGAAAAAACATGAGGGAAAATAAATCTGGGTCCTAGGCTTACGTTTAATCTGTTCACCGAACTTGAGCTATTACTGTGTTTGGTACTCAGCAATATTGTCAATATTATTAGTGTACTTATAAAAGCAACATGTTTTGCAGTGCTGTACGTATGCAGACAAAACAAAGTAGTATATATAGATGGCAATCTTTAGGTCTCCAGCATGAACACATCCATGGAAAAAAGTATATATAGACATGCACAGACCAATGGCTCAATATTTTCACTCTACACCAGCCATTGGGAAATTAAAATTCAACCTTTGTGAATAGAAATTTGCCCCTGGTGAATATGCCACAGACTCTCCAGGCATGCAGTGACAGGTAAGTTTTAAGGCCTGGCTAGTAGCATAGGACTTGACATTTTAAGCCACAGGTCTGCCCGCACCCCCCACGCCTCACCCCTCTGTCAGTCCCTACATTGGCTTCCTGTAAGATATAGCGCTCAATTTAAAATTCTGGTTCTTGCTTTTAAATCTCTACATAATGCTGCTTTCACCTATCTATCCTCCCTAATACACAAGTATGTTCCGTCTAGGGCCTTACGATGTGCTGAAGACTTACGTCTATCTTCTGTCCCTACTCCCACCTCTGATGCTCGGCTTCAAGACTTTTCGAGGGCTGCACCATTCCTGTGGAACTCACTTTCCTCCTCCATCAGATGCTCACCCAGTCTCCACTGCTTCAAAAAATCATTAAAAACCCACTTCTTCATAAAAGCGTATCAATTAAACTGTTAATAGCTCCCGACTGATTCTTCTCTTGCTAGTGTCACTAGTCTAATACTATCCTTACCTTTTGCATCACTTTACCCCACTCCCTCTAGCATGTAAGCTCATTGAGCAGGACCCTCAACCCCTCTGTTCTTGTGTGTCCAACTTGTCTGGTTACAACTACAGGTTTGCTCGTCCACCCACTGTAAAGTGCTGTGGAATTTGTTGGCACTATATAAATAATAACATAATAATAATAATATAGCTTGTAAGCCACAATGTATAATTATTTTATTTATGTAATTGATAATAGCATTAGTAAACTTTTTATATTGCCATATGTGATTAGATTGACTCATGCTTTCCAAAACCCTGGAGAGGTTAAAGTGATACTATAGGTGTAAGACTGTAAATTCCTTTAGGTCTCTCACACTGCCATGGACTTGTCACCAAATGTCTGCTTCCCGCTTATCTCTCTCAGATCTGGGAAAAGGCCCATTATAAATAACACACACAGGACAATGCAATGTATTTAAATCAAGCCTTTCATTTTTTCCTTCCCAGCAAAAGGGATATATAGATTATTAGACTAGGGTTTTACAATTCATTCAGCCAATCGCAGATTGGCACAGTATTCTTTGGTAAGCATTTTAAAACATTTCACTGATACAGCAAGGGCGCCTCCTCATATTCTGATTGTCAATACGATAAGAAGACTATGCCATCAATCACTATGTTGTATAATATTGTTAATACGATAAGAAGACTATGCCATCAATCACTGTTGTATACTACTATGTTTTCTCTGTTTAAAACAAAAACAAAAACAGGAGCTATGGTTGATTACTCAGGACGCAATGGGACATTATTGTCCAAATTGTATTGTTCATGATTATGTAACAAGTTTGCCTTAAATGCTGACCTCTGTATGTCTGCGTTTGTTAACACTCATGCCAACATATCAGATTTTGTGATACAGGTGTACCCATCTTTCTCATGCCTTGCGCAGCTCATAAACTGCAAATGAAAATTTTAAATAAAAAAAATAAAATGAAAGAATAATACCAGAACCACAAAAGCAAGCTCCAGTGTTTTTCTAGAAAATGTGCATGGACGTCAACAAATATGAGAGACAGTACAATATTCTCTTCTTCTTTTTATTTATATATAAAAAATAAAATGGTAAGCTTATGTTCATTTACAGCTTGAAACACTGATGGGGTTATGCACGTTACCACCAAGATAATCCACAGCAGAGGAGCACGTTAGATAAAATCTAACTACTAGAAACGTGTACTATAGGTTATTAAAATATAGGACGACATAAAGCTAAAGAACCAGAGAAGTTGATAGGGACTGACATCCATTTTACTGTTATATATGCACAATGCTTTATAAATCTCCAAGCAAAATACTAGATGGATAGAGCAGACGAACATCCATATTTTACCGGCTTTCCAAATGTTGTGATCCTATTCAAGTCATGTTTGATGAAAATTGAATTGCAAAATATAGGTAAATATTGCTGAGCTACACTTAGCATCCACTGCCAGTATTGGGGGTGGTTCTTAATTTGACGAATGAAGACAGGGGGCCAACTGGTGTCGCCCCCACTCATAATACTTCAACTCTCACCTGATGACAGGGGCAAGGGCAAGGGTGGGTGCGGTGGTGGGTCCACCTAGGACTTTTACAGATCTCATCACACTGCTAATGAGATCAGGCCATTAACAACAGGGTAACAATAGCCAACCAATAGTTTTATTCTTTGTAACTCGCAACTGCTTGCAGGGTAACCCACAGACAGATCTCCCTTTTTCCCATTATTTTTTTTTTCAAATTTGACAATTTTTATTGTTTTGTCATTTCTTGAGAGGTTGAGGATACAGAAAAAAGAAAGGGAGGGGTGGGGAAGGGGGAAGTTG